GCATCGGACAGGAAGGGTATGTGGCCCGATCCTCGGACATCGACCTGGCCTACATCTACGGCTACGGTTTCCCCCCCGCCAAGGCCGGAACATGCACCTGGTGGGAGCAAACCTTTTAAGTTTCGATGCCGTGGGTGCTCTGGCATGATTGTCGGCGAGCTCCATACATTCCTGCAGCAAAAGTTCCCAAATTGTCCCGAAACGTGGTGGTGCATGTGTTGACTTTGACAGTGTATTCCGCAGCTTGTCGCTTCCATCTTCGGCTGGTGGTGATTTTGATGCTATGATGATGATGACGATGACGATGTCACCAGTCATGCTGATACGATTCGGTAGTGCCCGCTTGTCGTGGGCATCTGAAGTTGCAAAGATGTGGGGGCTCAGTGCGCCAAGACCAGCTTAGACAGGGCGGCCCCATGTTCTACGCCGAGAACTATGCCGGGTTCAAGAAGATTCTGGAGCGCGTGAAGTACTACAACGAACAGGCCAAGGTGAGCGGTGCCGCATGTGCCGATGGGATGTAGGTTGTCCTTCGGGCCGGGATGTTCAAATGAGCAAGCAACAGGAGGTAGTGTTAGTTCGTCTCGGTTGGTATCGGTGCTGCTGCTCTTGCGGCGGCTGCGGCTGCTGGCTGCTGCTGCTGATGGTGCTGCTGCGGCTGCCGCCATTGCTGCAGCTGTCAAAACCGCTGACAAAGATCGCCAGTTCAACCCCAGTGCACAACTCGCACTCATTTGTGAGGAGCGCTTCACCAAGAACTCCAACTACTTGCCAATAGACTATTTCGAGCCCTCCAAGCTGTTGGAGGCTTGCGCGGCCAAGGAAGGCACAAAGGCCGGGCTCCCATCATTAGAGAGAGCCTCGCCCGGTGTGTGACTGGCATGCCAGGTGTTCCCCGGCCAGACGCTGATTGACGTGGTGCTGGCCGACTTCCGCAAGAAGAGTTCTGCTCCTGGCCCGTTTGCAAAGCTTTGAAGAAGCTTGCGACCAGCCTTTTTTTTTTTTCTCTCTCCTTCTCTGCAGCAGTAGCCGCGAGCACGGTTACCCTGGGTAGATTAATTCTTGCTGTCTGGACCTGGGTTAAGTTTCTACTACCATGCCATCTTCGCTGAGCGTTCCCGTATTGCATAGCAGATCCTTTTTGAGTATCGTACCATAGAATCAGCTGTGAAGCGGTGTCAATGACGAAACGTTGCATTTTCGGAAATTCTCTCGCATGCTACGGTTAGGTCCCTTAGAACTCAGACCGTTTCAGGCATCAGCTGCTTGCCATGGCAGTCTTCAAGAAAGTTCTGGCAACATCGCTTGGGGTGTCTGTGATGTGGTATTGCAAGAGACAGTAGGGGCGAACATAGGACATGTATTAACGTCATTCCAACATCCAACAGTGCTCACCTGTGTTCAACCTCTCGACAGTGACGACAAGTCGATGCATCAATTTGTTTGAATCTAACAGGAACGGCAGCCTCTCCATTTCATGCCGATGCTGTTGACGTCTCTCGTTTTGGTGGCGACAGCACCTGGCATTTGACGGAGCATGCCCTAAGCCGCCTCGTATCAAGGGTACACTTGCCAGAAGTAGCCGTGCCTCGGAACGGATTGCCAGATGCTGCCACAGCCACAGCCTGCACAGTTTCCATGATAGTCTCCACAGTGGGACCTGGCGATTTTGGGCGGCAGCTGCCCTCGAGGTGGAGCCCGCCAGGCCGCCCGGGTTCCTGTCCTAGAGCATCCTAGAGTTCAGCAGTGTCGGGCCTAAAATACGGAGGGGTTCGTGTTTTTGTCCTTTTGGCCTTTTCTTTTTTTGTTTGGCATTTTTTTTTTGCCCGCGCGCGTGACGTGGGTTGGGTGGGGTGCAGGGGGGTGCTAGGGCTGTGGGGAGTTCGCGAGGCGTCGGGGCTGCGGGAGGGGGGAGTGCTCGAGGCCGAAGTCTTTACGTACAAGTGGGCTTCGAAGCAATACACAGTTGGCAGCAACATACCGTATTGACATGACTTAGGTTAGACTTGCTGCGATCTGTGATACAAGCATTGTATGTTTCTATCTTAAATTGATATTTAATTCGCTATGATATGTGCAGCATGCGCTTTAGGAGGTGCTTCTTTAGGAGGCACCGACGTCGCAGCTTAGCGTTTCACCGCGGCCCCTACGGCTCGAACCAGGGGGCCCCTTTGAGCTGACACGCGCAGGCGGGTCAAAAGATAGGAAGCCGTGCCGCTATAGTGGATTCTTCGCTTTGCAGCTGAATTGGTAGCGGAGCTCTAAGGAGCTCGCCGGTTCGATCAGGGGCCTTGAGGGCCCAAAGGGCTACCTGAGGGAGCCATGCAGGGGAACAATCGGTCGAATGAGTCCTTTGATGGCAAGAACTTTGTGCCAACATGGGACGGGAAGCCAGAGACCTTCAGCCACTTTGTGACGGAGATCCGTTGGGCCTTGAACAGCACGAAGAAGGACGAGCGCGCACTCCTGGCGTCGCGGATTGTGCGACGAGCCCTTCAGAGCGAGCACCCGACGTTGGTGGCTCTGCTCTACAAGCTTGATCCCGAGGAGTTCAATTCGGAGGATGGAGTGGACAAGCTTGTGAAGTTCCTGGAGGCAAGCGCGATGAATCGGCAGCCGCTGCCAGACGCTGGCAACAAGATCGGCGGCTACTACCGGCGCTTGCACAAGAAGCCCAACGAGGCGATCCCCGCCTTCCTTGTGAGAGAGGACCGGGTCCACGACGAGATGCTTAAGGCTCTGCAGAGGCTCCTTAGGGAGCGGGAGCTGACCTTTGATGATTGCGAGGTGGACCTTGGAGAGCTGAAGGCTTTCTGCGGAATCCCTGAGGGGACTTCCTTGTACTACGGGCCAGCGAAGGATTGGATGCTGAAGGAGACGATCCAGATCGAGATCACGAAGAAGCGGATGGCTCGAGGACCGCAACTCCTGAGGGCTCCGGAGGGAGACCTTTTGCGCGCTCCTCGTTTGGGCGCAGAAGCAGCTCTAGAGAGAGCCGCTCGAGCAGCAGCAAGCAGTCCTCTAAGGAGGACAAGCCGGAAGACAAGAAGAAGCCAAAAGGAAAAGACTTGCTGCAACGTCTCATGGAGAAGGGGCTTATGCCTCTCGCCGCCCTGGACGTGATCCGTGGATGGATGATTCTGGAGATGAGCACCTCTACGGAGGACGAGCGGAGGATCATCAAGGCGGCGACCCGGAACAAGCTCGGGTACCATGAGATCAAGCAGGCCCTCCTCTCCATGTACGAAGACCGCGGCTCCAGAGGGAGCCGGCCCTTCAACTTTGGACATGGAGCACGGCATGCTTACTGGACGGAAGAAGTGGACCCTGAAGCATGGTATGACGAAGACGGTGCGGTGTACTACCAGGATGTCGAGGGCGCCTGGTGGTCCGAAGACCAATGGGCCCTGTACGGGGGCCAGGAAGGAGAATGGGTCCAGGAAGAAGTTGAGGGCGAAGCCGACGAGGAGCCGGACTCAGCCCTGGTGCAGCTCCAGGAAGACCAGCGCGAGTTTGAGAGAGAAAGGCAAGACATCGAGGCGATGCTGGCCGAGAACGACCGGAATCTTCAGGATGCCCGCCGTGCGTGCGGTGGCCGCGGCCGTGAAGGACCGAGGCTGGGGCGGCGGAGTTGCCCAACGACCGTACAAGCCGACCTCGGCTTACATGAGCAAGGGCCAAGGCAAGCACGGCGGGTCGCCCAAGGGCGGCCAGCAGAAGGGCAAGGTGAACTTCTCTGAGGAGGCTCACTTTGCGAAGGGCCCTGGCAAAGGCAAGGGCAAGCGGAGTGCCCCGTCTTGGGGCAAAGGC